CTTGAAAGATTTCCAGAATATTAACTGTCAAAATATGGTTGTGCAGATCAAAATGAAAGAGGAAAAACGTACCTTAGTTTCGCTATTGTACATTCTGGATGTTTGAGCCCCTCACACAGCAATTCCATTGTTTTCTCATGTGGGTTCCTGAATGACAAGTCTAACTCTCTCAGTCTCTGGTTTTTCCTTAGTACCTCTGCAAGATGGCTGCTGAATAATTCATTCATCATGACTCCATAAAACCTGCAAAGAGGAATCTGAAAAATTAGAATTTCCACCTAAAAAACAAACATTGACTGTATTTTTGTAGGAACTGAGTGGAATGTAATTATGTATGGCAACTGAACTGCCTTTCCCTTGACAGATTTCCAGAATATTAACTGTCAAAATATGGTTGTGCAGATCAAAATGAAAGAGGAAAAACTTACCTTAGGTTCGCTATTGTACATTCTGGATGTTTGAGCCCATCACACAGCAATTCCATTGTTTTTTCATCTGGGTTCTTGAGTGACAAGTCTAACTCTTTCAGTCTCTGGTTTTTCCTGAGTACCTCTGCAAGATGCCTGCTGAATAATTCAGTCAAGATGTCTACATCAAACCTGCAAAGAGGAATCTGAAAAATTAGAATTTCCTCCTAAAAAACAAGCATTGACTGTATTTTTTGTAGGAACTGAATGGAATATAATTACGTATGGCAACTGAACTGCCTCTCCCTTGACAGATTTCCAGAATATTAACTGTCATAATATGGTTGTGCAGATCAAAATGAAAGAGGAAAAACGTACCTTAGTTTCACTACTGTACATGCTGGATGTTTGAGCCCATCACACAGCAATTCCATTGTTTTCTCATCTGGGTTCCTGAGTGACAAGTCTAACTCTCTCAGTCTCTGGTTTTTCCTGAATATATCTGCAAGATGCCTGCTGCATGATTCAGTCAGGATGTTTACATCAAGCCTGCAAAGAGGAATCTGAAAAATTAGAATTTCCTCCTAAAAAAAAAAGCATTGACTGTATTTTTGTAGGAACTGAATGGAATGTAATTATGGATGGCAACTGAACTGCCTCTCCCTTGACAGATTTCCAGAATATTAACTGTCAAAATATGGTTGTGCAGATCAAAATGAAAGAGGAAAAACTTACCTTAGTTTTGCTATTGTACATTCTGGATGTTTGAGCCCCTCACACAGCAATTCCATTGTTTTCTCATGTGGGTTCCTGAATGACAAGTCTAACTCTCTCAGTCTCTGGTTTTTCCTTAGTACCTCTGCAAGATGGCTGCTGAATAATTCAGCCAGGATGCCTACATCAACCCTGCAAAGAGGAATCTGAAAAATTAGAATTTCCTCCTAAAAAACAAGCATTGACTGTATTTTTTGTAGGAACTGAGTGGAATGTAAGTATGTATGGCAACTGAACTGCCTCTCCCTTGACAGATTTCCAGAATATTAACTGTCAAAATATGGTTGTGCAGATCAAAATGAAAGAGGAAAAACTTACCTTAGTTTCGCTATTGTACATTCTGGATGTTTGAGCCCATCACACAGCAATTCCATTGTTTTCTCATATGGGTTCCAGAGTGACAAGTCTAAGTCTCTCAATCTCTGGTTTTTCCTGAATACCTCTGCAAGATGCCTGCTGCATGATTCAGTCAGGATGTTTACATCAAGCCTGCAAAGAGGAATCTGAAAAATTAGAATTTCCTCCTAAAAAA